GTGTCAATGACCAAATATGTCGAGACACGTTAATAAGTAGAAATGGGAATATTTCCTACATTGTTAAAAATTTGCTTATAGTTGGTATGGACGCTTATTTTGGTTCGAGTAAAAATATAAAATCGGGCTATTTTACGTTTTAAACAGAAGTTTAAAATACATTGAATGCATGGTTTCTTGTAACGAACAAATAAAAAGAGTAGCAATGGGTTTTATTTAATTGGAATTTAATAATTTTTGCTAAATTTTTAAACTTTTAATTAACTAAATAACTATTTTATTCTTATGCCTTTTTGGGTCATTATTAAAAAATTATTGCTAAACGTCATTTAAAAAAATAATCATAAATTTTCTTAAAAAGGTGATTTATTTTACTTTATTAACATATCGGTCAACAATTTGTGTAGGATAGTCTATGTGGCAATTATTCCTCCCAAAACGTTTAAACCCCTGAGAGTAGACAATCCCGAAGTCTGATACAGACATTAAAAAAATCAATGTTAATGTTCCAAATATTATACATGTTGTTACCTATATAGATTTATCATTGTTTTTTCTAACAAGTTTATTCACCTAATTTTTGTTTATTGTAAATATATATCTAATTTAAGCCATGCTGTTTTTTTTTCTGTTTAAAGTTTATTCATTCCTTAGTATGGAGAATTCTATGACCTAAACATCCGAGTCACTGATACGTTGATGAATGTAGGAAAGAAAACAGCACTTACAAGATAAACAAAAAGAAAATAAAAACAATTTAAAAACAAAGACACTCATCTTCAAATACCCAATCGAAAAAAAAAACAAATACAAACCGATTATTGGAAGCAACGAATCGTCTACTGTAAACACCATTCCTAGAAAAGGTCATGTACATGTGTCCACATGTGACAAATATAAGGTATCTTTCCCTTTCTATAAAATTGACGAAGTCTACAGACCTAATATTTGGTCCAAAGAAGCGGCCGTGAAAAGATTTAACTTCATATGTTGTTCGGACCACCGGCAAAGTGAAGAAATTTTAAAATTAATTAGCATCTCTGGCTTTTCGTTAGCTAATTTCTTTTGTAGGATAAAAAAGAAACAAGGTGGAGTTGCAATTTACGTAAGAAAAAAGCTTATGTAGTCTTCTCTTAATCTTCATCATCATCATCTTGGTGCTACAGCCTTTAGAGGGCCTCGACCTTCTCAAGCTTTCTACGCCATTCTGTTCTGTCCCTTGCTTGAGTTTTCCAGTTGCCGAATCCGATCTTCTCCGCATCTTGTGTTACCCCATCCATCCACCTCAGCATTGGTCTACCCCGTCGTCTCATTCCCACAGGTTGCGCTGTTAGAATCTTTTTTATCATGTTCGATTCAGGGGCCCGGGCTACATGTCCTGCCCGCTGCAGGCGGTTTCGCTTAATTATAGTGGTAATATCTTTACCACCAAACGTATGCTTGTAGATATTCTGCAGTTCGAAGTTATATCTACGCCTCCATATTCCGTTCTCACAGACCGCTCCAAATATCTTGCGTAGCACCTTTCTTTCAAAAATGGATAGAGCGGATTCATCTGTTTTCGTTAGCGTCCATGCCTCTGATCCGTATGTAAGAACGGGGACTATCAGTGTTCTATACAGCCTTATACGAGTTTTTTGAGACAGACGTTTGTTAGCTAAGTACTTTGATAAACCATAATAACACCTGTTTGCAATTATTATTCGCCTTTTTATTTCCTCAGATGTATTATTATTATTGGGGTTAACCGATGTCCCTAGATATATGAACTCATTGACTGCTTCGAAGTTTTGGTCATTGATGATTAAATTTGTGTCAACATTTCCAGCTCTTGTGTTTGTGTTAGTCGCCATGAATTTGGTGTTATTTTGATTTATATGTAACCCCATTCGTTCTGCTGCTGCTACTAGCTCGGTTAGGATTTCCGCAGTTCTCGCCCTAGTTCTTGTTATAATGTCCACGTCGTCTGCATATGCTAGAATTTGGACTGATCTATTAAATATTGTTCCCCTGCTATCTAAATTAGCGTCTCGTACAACTTTTTCTAAGCGACATTAAAAAGCTGACACACCAGCGCATCTCCCTGCCTTAACCCCCTATGTATTTGAAATGGGGTTGACGAGTCGTTTTGAATTTTTACTGATGATAGCATCTTCGCCATTGTCACTTTTATCAAATCTTCTTCGAGAAGTGACGCCATTGTCACTTCTCTTAATCTAAATGAATATAATATAGAGCAGCAAAGTTCAAAGTTTTGTGCAATTTATGTACCTTCAATAAAAAACAATATTTTAACTGTATACAGATCAGGTAAGGGTAGCTTTGACTTGTTTTTGATGAGTTTTGAAAAATTCATAACGTCCTTGTTTAGTTAACGAGACAAACTGATCATACTTGTTGATTTTAATATAAATTTTAAAATTGAATCTGGCCCTTCTTTTGTTATTCAAAATCTATTAACATCTTTTACACTCAAAGTAACTATGAACGAATATACTAGAATCACATTCCACACCAGTAGTTGCAACATTATGACAATTTTTTCTGAAAATATCTACAGAGTGGGCATATTTGAACCTTGTTTTTCTGACACGTTGTTGACACTTACCAAACATTTTCACAGTTTAAAACTTCTTCTGGTTTACATAACCTTAAACGTGCGATAGATAGTACACAGATGGACTTTTTCTATGATATTAATAATGATTCTGATTCTTTGACAGTTTTTCCTACCGAAATTTATAACAACTTAATATTAAAACATTTTATACAATATGCACAAAAAAAAAAGAGAAGTGACTGGAATAGGTCGAAATAGACAGCAAGGACACATAAAAGACAAAAAAAGAGTACTACTAATCGATTTACCAGAGAAAGGCCATGGGAGGAATACGTTAGAGAACTTTTCCAAGATAAAAGAGGTGAAATGCAGAAAATACAAGAAATAAATCCTTTAGAGAGACAGAAGATCACGATAGATGAAATCAAATATGCTATCAAAAACTATAAAGACAATAAGGCAGCTGGATTAGATGAAATACCAGTAGAGTTGTTAAAACTAGTGGAAGAGGATAACTTGGAAGTATTGGCAGATTTATTCAACACAGTGTACGATACGGAAATAATACCACGAATGGCTGAAGTCAGCATTTATAACCATCCCTAAAAACCAAGCAGCAAAAGAGTGTACTTACTGATTATCGAACACTGAGCCTCATGGGTCATATTTTAAAAGTACTACTGAAAGTAATACATAAGAGAATATATGAAAGGCTAGAAGAGGAAATTAGCGAGACGCAGTTCGGGTTCTGAAATGGAATGGGTATTCGAGAAGGACTATTTGCCATTAACATATTGATTCAGCGATGTCGAAAAAACGTCGTAAACGTTGACTTACCCTTGTGCTTTGTTGACTACGAAAAAGCTTTCGATAAAGTAAGACACGAAAAACTAATATTAATACTCATGAACAAGCGCATCGACAGTAAAATCATAAATATAGGAACAAAATTGGAGTCTCACAGCGAAAACTGGTCAGAAGATTTCATGTTGGAAAGACTACAGTATACAGGACCCTATTGAGTAACAATATTATCTACCGGAAAGAAGGAAAGCTTTAAAATACACAGAGGATCAATTAGAGAGAATTTCGAGATGTTGTCTTAGCACTTTAGACTGGAATCTTTGGATAATATTCAGCGACGTATAGGTGTAGTCCGTAGAACCAGATAGGTTTGAGTATGGCTTTATATAGAAGAATTTGGTTTTGGATGTTAAGTTTTGTTTTACGTCCAAGAAGCTAATACATTTGCCGGAATTTTAAGTCGAGCTTCCTTCTTTTGGTCTGGATAGCTTTCTTCCAAGTGAGACGTTGGTCAAGATGGAGGACAAGGTATTTAGCATCTGTTATTGTTGGTATTCTTACATTGTCCATCCTTACAGGTGGGCATATGTTGTGAGGGGTTGGTAAATGGTATTTTAAGTTGATTTTGTTTTATATACTCATGTTCTTCATTTCGTATACCAATCACTGAGTATGTTCAGATGATATTGCAGGTTTTGTGCGGCTTATATAAGATCTTCAATTCAGCTAGTATAACTACGTCGTCAACAAAGGAAGCGATTGTAGTATTGTTAGTCTCTGGTATATCAGCTGTATAGAGTGAGAAAAGCAGCGGCCCTAAAACACTACCCTGCGGGACTTCGGCGTTGATAGGACAGAGGATAAGAAATATCTATTTGATATGTATGATTCAATTAGGAGGAAATAGTTACTGAATAGGGCTATTTTTACTTTGTAAAGCAGACCTATGTGCCAGACTTTCTCAAACGCCTGTGAGATGTCTAGAAATACAGCGTTGCATTACTGTCATTTCATTGATTTATATCTTTAGTGGTCTTATAAGTAATAAGTGTTTTATCCATATCTAACATTAATTGTCTGATGTTATCAGTTAACCATGGAGTATATTTCTTTGAGATTCTGAAAGTCTGATATGGAACATAAATGTGAAGTAGATTAATAATATTATTAGAGAGAATAGTCGAATTTACTGTCTATATCTAACATTAGATGTCAATATTTGAAAATAATACATCAAACTTAAAAATAACAACCTTCACCCCTGCCCTACCTGTACAAGCATACGTGATACGGGCGTTGTTGTGGGCTAAATGTGATTTTAATTGAGTGACATTTATTATAAATTTGACAATAATTAACATTATTTCGTGATGAGTGTCACCAATTTTGTAGTTACAAAATTTAAATCTGTCTATTTCCTATTGTTTTTTAGTTATCAGTTAAATATTTGCGTATTTACTTAATCCGGAACCCTTGTAAGTTCCCCGGATAGACAATATCTAAGTGTATAAAATATTTTTTTAGTATTTTGTTATTGTATGTGATATCGTTTGTATTTAAGATAAAAAAATGTAATTTATAAATTTAATTGTGCGCTAAAAATAAAAACAACTTTCATTATTTATTTCGCATATATTTAGGAAATAGTTGCTATAACAGTTTCAATTGGTACTAATCCAATTATGGGTTCAAATAGTACAAAACGTAAGAAAGAAGCGCTGGGAATATGTAGTCTGGTAGTAGCTAACAAAATGTCAATAAAATGTCTACTATCCATATTTTCCTGTTGTTTAAGACACGTAATTGTTTTTTGAACAATATTATCTATTTCTATTATTTCCTGAGGATCCTCCAATAAATCTAGCCGACACAGAAGCAGTGTTTCAAAAAGTTCAAGAGTTGCTGAGTTTAAATTAAGTGACTTCATATAGCTGCAAGTTTCATGAAGAAAGGAGAATATTCCTTCTATATTTAGGTGCCAATATGAGGCCTTCAGAATAAATAACGGACCCCAAAGATAACCTAAAAATAAATTACAAGCATTAGAAAAATAAACATGATTTATTTTGTAGTTTGAAAACTAGTTCTGGACTTTTGTATATTAGATTATTATATAAATACTGTTACATAGATATTAGAACAGAAGCTATTTTCTAAAAAATCAAAGTCCATCTGTTTCGAATAATAGCAGCTTATACGAAATTGTGATTTGGATGTATTAAATAGTTAATCAAACACTAGGGTAGATCCTTGTAGCTTAGGACACTTTTCTTCAATCCCACAGAATTTGTGTTTTAAATAACTTGACGCATTCATATTACATTTAATACATCGTCATACTAATATTGATAAACATTCATACCTAGAACTACTAAAAAATACATTTTTGAGTAAAAAAAAACTAAGAACTGATTTTGTTATTTTATACCAAGGTGGATACAATCACATCCAGTACTTTATACAAAAACTTTATTTTTTCTCCGCATCGTACACAATTGTATTCTTCTTATATATCAGCACATGGATCGTTATCTCCCTCTCTCCCACTCTTTCTCTTTCTCTCTCTTTCTCTTTCTAACGTTTGATTAATGTCTTCCTCAGAAACAGTCTCGATCGGTTAACATCCTAGTCTTCCTCTTTCTGTTCTAGGTTTTGTTTTTCTTGGTGGGGCGTTTGGTTAAAGTCGAACGACTTGTGGTGACCTCATAGTATCTCTTTTAGCACATTGTTTTGCACCTGGATATGTAGATGGTACAAAAGATTCCATGACAAACAGATTACCTTTCATTTACTGTTAAAATTGAGCGAATTCAATGGCCAGGTAAAGCTACGTTTTCTTAAGAATCAGTGGTGTTTGACATCACGTTTGGTGCATACAGTTTTCATGTCTAGCAGAGGTCTATCTAGATGGTCATATTTTCCTCACTTTAAAACCATATTTTACGTAAGAAGATGCTTGTGATGGTAGCTCGTGGCTTGTATAAGGAGGAAACGTAAACATGACTGCACCATTTTATTTAGCCAAATTTATAATTTTTATAGACAAGTCACTCTCGTAATTGTCTATGATAAGGAGTACCTTGTTTTTTACATTTGGTTGAACATGTTTTTTAAAGGTTTAAAAAATCTTTAAGTCTTTTAGCAATGTAGCAATTTGGAAGCATTTATAGCCAATGTTTATGCAGGTGCGTCATTAGTCATGTGGGACTTAAAATACACTCTTCAAGATATCATACAAGAAGGCACTGAATTTCCTAGCGCATTAACACATACTTAATAGTGACGTTGCTACCTCTTTTTGTACGTTTTGTTCTTTTTGGGCCTAAAACATCCATGAGCGTATGTAGAGTAGATAGCCCAGACTCGTCTATATTGTATATTTTTTCAGAAGTGAATTTATGTTTGAGCAGCAAGTCTCTGTATTTTTGAAAAAACTCCTAAGGTGTCCCGTATATGGAACTCCCCTACGTTACGAGCGAAACTACGAATGATCAGCTTCTCGTTATTGTCTGTCTCATGACATATCCAAAATATTTTAATTGTTGGCAAAGATATTATAGGTATTAAACCAAAATGCATTTACTGATGAAATCTCTCATGCAGAATAATCTTTTTTTTTTGAGATGCATAATATTTTTTTCTCTAATTATGCATGTAATATTTTCTCTGAGTACTTCTATGTCAACAGTATAAAAAAATAAATTTAAAAGTTCTTGAGCTAATGAACGATAATGCTAAATATTTATCATTATGTTTATTTTTGATATATCTATTTGTATTCTGAAATTTCACGATATCACGAAAAATGTAATTGCTGTAATGTGAAGGCTAAATCCATCTGTAGCGAATACAAGAAATTATAAAGTCTGAATGGTGTCAGTTTTGAGTCAAACTCTACATAGGTTTCTACGTGAATGTTCTTCCACAACACAATAATCCAACCCTTTGTCTAATAATTGCGGTGTTTTCCGTTAGATGTCGCTAGAAGATGGTGTTTTTATATAGCATTATGGGCTTGAAATATTTTAAATTTTATTAAACGTAATATTATTATAATTTTGATTATAGTTTTACATTTTTAATACTTTTATATGTTAGTTAATATATGATGGATTACTAGTATTGGTCCAATACTTGAATGTTTATTTTATGAAAGTTTATACAAGAATTTTTTTGACTTAATTAAAGAGAAAAATATAGATAAATTAATGTCGTTGGCCAATGAGAGAGAGAGGACACTGCAAGTGACCACATATGACAATAAATTATTATAAGTTATAAAATGTCGCGTAACCAAATAGATAAAGATATACGAAATATATGTTATGGCTCTACAAGAAACTAAACAAATGGGGAAGTAAATAATGGAAGTTCAGGGCGTGGCGCTATTTACTAGTGACGGGAAAGACAGGATACTGGGAACTGGTTTCGCAGTTGCAAAGAACTTACAAGTTGCAGATTGTGCGTAATAGGTAGATACTAATGAAGGGTGAAAAAGAAATATAAGTGTAATTAAAATGGAAATAAAGAGAAACTATATTAATGAAATAAATAAAGGGATGTTACTCCGGTAGAAAGTAGAGGAGATAGGATCAGAGCATATGTGGCAAGTTAAAAGAGAGGCTGTAACTATAGCAAATGATAAAATTATTCCACAAAAGAGCCAAATAAAAGCGGGAAAAAATTGGTTTGATGAATAATGCCTTAAAATAGCAGAGAAAAAGAATAAATTAAGACAATTGGCACTAACAACTAATAACGATGGTATAAACCAGAGTTACAAAGATTAAAGAAGATTAATGAGAAGGGTATATAGACGGAAAAAATAAAGGAAAGATATTAGAAAAAATAAATACTGTTATTAAAACAGACAGGGGATATCAGAATTACAAAAAAGAAGATGAAAAACTCACGAGTAAAAAATAATTAGTGATAAGTATATGGGAGAGGCATTTTAGTGAATTACTCAATGGAAAAAATACAGATGAGAATAAAAATTTCCTTATACAGGATAATGGCATAATAATAGTCTATATATTAATCTAGTGAAGCAGAAATTAAAAATATAATCAATGCTACAAAATAGAGATGAATAACTGCAAGAAAGGATGTATAGTCTTATCAAGATATGGGAAGAGGGAAATATGTCCAAAGATTGGACCAAAGCGTTATTATGCCACATTTACAGAAAGGGGGATAAATCGGCATGTGAAAATTACAAAGGTGTTGCAATGCTGGATACTAGTTACAAGATATTAGGCAGGATACCTACTAAAAGACTGACTCAACAGATTTGCTGATGATAAACTAAGTGAGTCTCAGGCCGGTTTTAAAGTTAATAGATTAGATACAGATCAGATTTATTACACTTAAACAATTCAGACTACTCGTTATGAATATTAAGTAACCTTTCATGCATTAATTATAGATTTTAAATACTCCTACTAAAAAACATACTCCTTAAAACTGGTTAGGTTAGTAAGAATGACCGTGAATAGCACACGAAATCATGTAGTATGGATAAGATTTTCATCGGGCAAGTTTAAAGCGAATTGATGTCTTAGACAAGGAGATCCGTTATCCACTGTGCTTTGCGCTAATTTGGTATTGGAAACAATAATCAGAAATGGTAGAGATAAAACGACCGTATTCATCTTCAACAATGAACATCAATGCCTGGCCTTCGCTGATGATCTTACTATTCTAACGAAGACTAGAAACGAACTACAAAATTTTATAATAAGATTAGAACAGAAGGCAAAATATTTTGACCCACAAAGTAAATAAACTAGGAAAAGTCAAATTACACGATACTCGGGAATACAGAGCAAACAGAAGAGGGGTAGTTTACCTCCATATCTAATGAATCAAGGGATAATAATTTCGAAACTGTGGTCCGTTTTACTTATTTGGGGGTTATTATAAAAGAGAAAGGTCAGGAAGGTCAGTTAACTGAACGATAGATTGTCAAAGGGAAATTAAAAGTAGGGAAGTCTACGACTACCTACTAATGAAATCCAAATATATATCTTGAGAAAAACAAAGATAAGGATATATAAACATAATAAACAGTAATAAAAAGTAATAAGAACTTGATATATGAAATATATTTCTAATGTGAAATTGAGAAATACGGAGAAATAGAAAAGATAGGAGAGGAAAATGCTCAGAGATATACATGGAGGCAAGACACGGTGGAAAGTTGGGTGCGACCACCAAATAGGAAGCTAAAGGAACTATATAACGAACCAAGCATCAGTCGCTTCATAGAAATACAGAGAGTGAGATAGACAGGGCACGTGAGAATGGAACGGAAGGGGATGCCAAAGATGATTCTAAAACGGGGCTCAATCACGAAAAGAAGAAAAGAGGGACTTAGTCAAAGATGGTTTAATAGTATAAAGGAAGATCTTAGAAAAGAGAGAATTTATAGTTGAAAAAACAGAGCAGCAAACAGGGATGGATAGAGGAGAAGAGTAAGCTAATTCAGTAGGCAAGAATCATGATTGAACAAGAAGTTATGCCAGTCGATACAAGTTTTGTAATATGTAATTATTTTATTAACTGTATTAATTGTATTTTAGCCCTAGGCTTGTTGAATTTTGTAAATAAATAATATGTTTAGTAAGCCCATGCTCAAAATGTAGAAAATTCTGTTGTATGATATATTTATATGTAATAACTAACATGTTAACATCCATCTCTATAGGTATGAACCAGTAGAGCAGGAAGAATTCCGAAAAGGTTACAGTACAGCGCATCTTCTTACAGTCAGAATTTTAATAGAGAAAGCCAATGAATATTACTTGAACTTATATATTGGCTTCGTTGATTACGAAAAAGCATTCGACTCCATAGAACTTTCGGCATAAGAGAGAGCTACAAACTGCAGAATGTAATACACAATATTTACAAGAAAGCTACAATGAAAATACAAATTGATGTGAAAACCAAAGCTATATCAATCAACAATAAAGTTTGCCAGGAAGATGTTATATCACCAAAGCCATTCACACTACGACTTAAAGACGGGTTCAAAGACATTAACTGGGCAAATAAGGGAGTAAATGTTAATGGAAGAAAACTGAGTCATTTAAGATACGCTGATGACATTGTAATATTCGCTACAAGTTTTGAAGAACTACAGACCATGATGACGCAACTATTTGAAGCTTCGGAAAAAGTAGGTCTTAAGACGAACTTGGAAAAAACTAAAATAATGACAAATTCACATGCACATTATCCCCATTTATAAAAAGGAAGACAGAAAATGGAGCGGAAATTATAGAGGCATTAGCGTAACTAGCTCGCTGGGAAGGTTATATGGTCGTATATTAAAAAGAAGAATAGAAGAGGAGTATAAAGAAATTGAAGAACAAAGCGGCTTCAGAGCAGGAAGATCGTGCGTGGACAACACATTTACCCTTCAACAAGTAATTAAAAAACGAACAGCTCAAAACCTCCCAACGCATCTAGTATTTATAGATCTGGAGAACACTTATGATACAGTTCCTTTAAAACTCTTATTTAGTGTCTTGACGAAAACGGACCTTAGTAAAATATATCTAAAAGCAATACTAAACATCTATAAATGTCCTCGAAGCACTGTAAAAACAGGAAATACTTTCTCAAGGGTATTTACAGTAACGAAAGGCTTGAGACAAGGATGTTGTCATTCCCCCACCCTATTCAAAATATATATCCAAGAAGCACTGCACCAGTGGAGACAAACATGTGCGGGAAAAAGCTTAACAACCATTATCTGACAACTGCAGATAATAAAGTACTAATTGCAAGCTGTGAATAAGATGCATATTATATGCTTAGAAAACTCAAAGATGAATACGAAAAATGGGGGATGAGTATGAATATGTCAAAAACAGAATATATGCGAATAGGCAGTGAAGAAGAAGACCCGGATTTGGAAATTAGACAAATGAAAAGGTGCTACGAATACAAATATTTGGGAAGTATTATCTGCAGTAAAGGAACAATGGAACGAGATATAGACTGTAGAGTGCAACAAGGCAGGAAGAGTGTTCAAATTCTAAATTCGATACTTTGGTCCAACAAAGCTACTATGAGAACTAAAATGACAATCTACAAAGTAATTGTAGAGCCCATTCTTACATATGGAGCAGAATGTTGGCAAATGACAGTAAAAGGAAAGAAAGTTGACACGGTTGAAATGGACTACCTCAGAAGAGCTTGCCGTATATCAAGAGTAGAACGTATACCTAATTCTGAAATTAGAAGAAAAACAGATAGAGTACATACAACTTTCGAAAGAATAGAAACTAGACAGTTAATATGGTATGGACACGTACAGAGGATGGACGACAACAGATGGCCAAAAAGAGCTATATGGAATACAATCCAAGTAATAGAAGGAAACGAGGAAGACCAGCTAAGTCTTGGATAAAAGGTGTTTTGGAAACCATGAAAGACAGAGCCATTGATGAAGACACCTGGAGAGGTAGACAAAAATGGCGATCGAAATGCGGGAAACGGCAGAAGCTGTAGGATCCCCGCTTATATTATATTATACACCGAACATTACAGAAATAACGTTGAACGACATAAACTTAGAAACAGTAAGCGAATATATCTACCTGGAACAGATAATGAAAATTAACAAAGAAAATAAACTGCCGAAATTAACAGAAAAATAAGATTAGCGTGGGCAGAATTTATAAAACTGAGTTGGATCTTAAAAAGCACTAAAATAGAACAGTATTTGAAAACCAGAATATACGATCAGTGTATCCTCCATATACTCACGTATGGTTCACAGACGTGGACAATCACCAAGTCCGATATGGATAAAATAGTAAAAGCGATGGAAAGATCAATGCTCGGGATGAGACTTATAGACAAAAAAACAAACAAATGGATTAGAAGCAAAACCAAAGTAAAAGACGCAGAAGAACATGCTGCCAAATTAAAATGAAGCTTCGCAGGACACAATGCTCGACTGAAGATAAGAGATGAAACTACGAAATACAACAGTAGAGGCCATGGTTAGGAAAGAGAAGCAGAGGAAGACCGCAAATGAGATGGGCTGATGACATTAAGAAGATAGGAGGACACAACTGAAAGCAAGTGGCGCTAAATAGAAGATACTGGATTGATTTGGGGAAGACCTATGTCCAAAGTTGGATTACTGAGAGCTGAAGAAGAAAAAGATGATGTATTTAAATTGGTAATAATTTTGTAAAATTGGTGATCAATGCGTTAATCCTTGTGTGCAAAAATAACCGTAAATTTTAAGTTAGTAGATTTTATCAATTTAAAAAATAACATTTTAACATACCTAATATGACATTCTGCGATTTTCTTGATAAAAGTTTAAATCCATAATTACACCTAGCCTGCTTTATTGCTGTAAGGAATATGCTGGCTGCTACTTCGTGAATTAAAGTGTTATGTACTATATTAGGTATTTCTGTAACCAGGGTTAGTTGTTCGCTTTTGGTTCCGTTAATGGCATTTTCTAATTTGCGTTTAAAAGTAATGTTATTATGTTTAGGCTTCCTTGGTCCTCGCTCTTCCTGTACGGCTAAAAATATAAACTGCTTAGTTTATTTAATACTTTCAATAAATGTTAAAAAACGAAAAAATCCAAATGATTAGGTTAAAATAAGAATATCCCCTATCTAAAAAAAAGGGATAAACTACAATATGAAGATTATAAAGGAAAGACAATACTAGACGTTAATTAAAACGCACTGGCTGAATTCATACGAAGTAGAATAACCGAGTCAAACTTTCACTACTGCATTTAAACCATTCCCTCAAGTTCTTAAGCCACAATATTCTTCGTCTTCCCATATTTCGCTTTCCTCGAATTTTGCCTTGCATAATAAGTTGCAATTATGAGTATCTTTGCCCTCTCATAACATATTATAAGTACTCCAGTTTTTTTCTTTTGATAGTCAATAATATTTCACTCTTTGAGTCTATGATATCCGTTGGATTATTCTGTAACGCCAAAATTCTAAGGCAACTTATTCAGATGCACTTGTTTTAATGTCCATGCTTTCAAGACAAGAAGAGTAGGGAATAACTAACACGAATGATGCACGTACTATTTCAATACGTGTCTTAATTTCTTTGGTTTGGTCTACATGTATGTTCCTAAGTATTTGTAGGTATTTGTAGGTATCCACACTCTCTAATACAGTATCCTCAACAATCAATTGGATGTTTGCACTTGCTGATTTAGTCATGATCATGTATTTAGTTTTTTTAAATTCATCCTTGGACATATTCATGACAGCATTCATTAAGTCGTTGCATTACGTTCTGTAAATCATTGTTGTTATCCATCATTATTAATGTATGATCTGCAAAACGCAATTACGCAAAACGCAAGTTATTCAAAACTTATCCATTGATAGATATACCTTCTATGGAATGTGAGAGCGCTTCTTTAAGTACCGGTTTACTGTAGACATTAAAGAGTAGTATATTTTTGCTTTTTAATATTTCTACAAGGTTTTATCTTTAACCTTATTAAATGCCTTTTCAAAATCTTCAAAACATGTTCTGATTCATGCCCATGCATCTCTGGGCCAGACAATTCAATTCGAACAAAGCATATCTTGTGTCCATACCATTTATAAAGCCAAATCGCGTGTCAACAATGTCGTATTCAAGAGTTTTAACAATTCTGCTGTGTATTATTTACAAAAATGTGTATGTAAGTGTACGACTCATTAAAGCTATTGTTCTGTGATCTGAGCAGGATATTGCACTTAACTTTTTGGGTATTTTGGATCTGTGGATTGTGAAAGTCTGATATATTAGAATAAGAGTTTAACCATTACACCAATATCATCTTTATCAATGAGTTTTAATAATTCAATGGGTACATCATCTAGTCCGGTAGCTTTGCCCTCTTTTGTGTTTTCAATGGCATAGATGACTTGTTCCCGTAATATTGGTGGTCCAGTATCCTTTGTAGATTTTGGATGTAATTGGTCCAGTGACACAATTCTGCTTCATATCAGTAATAATATCCCCTTTATCATTTTTTAGAACCTATCATTTCTTTGATTTTTTTGTGTAAATTAAAGCTATCATACTTTTTATCCAGATCTTCTATTTCTTTGCGTCTGTCGGAGAACCACCTTTTTTTTCCTCTCAAATGTTCTTTTCGATATTTTTCTGAATTTCTTTGTATTTATTCAGGTCTTTTGCTTTATGTTTTCTTCGTTCTTCCATAAGTTCATAAATTTCTACCGTCATCGAAGGTTTTGTTTTTTCCCCAAGTGGTTTAAGGTTTTTTTTTTTCAACTGACATAAGAGTTGAATTTTTCATCTGATGTTGAATTTTTTCGCATTTTTTGTCAATAGTCAGAGTTTCTGCAATATATTCTTTGACTTTGCTTAAGTTTTAATTTTAAATTTCGTTTCCACATATGTGTTGTCTTGTTTGAGCCGCCTTGTATCCATGATTTTCTTGGAACTAGGGTGCTTAACATTCCTTAGTTTCACTCTTATCGACAAAACAACTGAATTATGATCGGATAATATACCCGCTCTTGGATAGCGTTGTTCTATATCTACTATTTATTAAAGAAAATTTTATACAGATATCTGACAATACCCTCACTGTCAAGGAATATTTACTCTGGTAATCAGTAGTGGTTTTTTGCATTTTTTTTTGTTTCGCTCTTTTTGGTAATGTTTACATACTCACCAAATGCTCACTTTAGCCTACTTTAACACACTCTTGCAAACCACAAGCTAACTGATCACAAAGTCTTACTTTAATCTGAATCGAAAGAGGTTTTAATCTGTGTTTTAAAAATGTCAGACATTTTTGAGACTTCTTGGCGACAATTCTGGCATACTCCTCTCGATGTTGTGTGGCTCTAAAGAGTGCATGCGCATCGAGGTTTGTCCAATCCCTTATGTTTTTCAGCCATGAATATTTCTTTCTTTCGATGCCTCGTTTTCCTTCTATCTTTCCTTCCATAATAAGTTTTAAGAATTGGTACTTGGAATTTTGAAATATATTACCCAGATAAGCAGTTTTTCTTCTTTTTATTATTGACACATAAATGTCACTTTTTGAGACACTTAAATATAATTATCTCTTAATGAATTATTTAATGAATTTGAGCTAAACTGTAATGTAATACAACCATCATTATCATCGAACCTCAAAAGTCTAGTGCTGAACAGAGGCATCTTCCTCGTGTTTCCAACTCCGTCTTTCTTGCGCCACTCTCATCCATTTTTTATTTTTTCTTCTTAAATCATCAGACCGTCGTGTATGTGGTCGACCGACGCTTCTGTTGTTTTTTTTTTAGTCTTCATTCCACTAACTTATTTGCCCATTGTTTATCCGTCATTCTAGCTATGTATGCTGCCCATCTTTTCGATGACGTTAGTCACCTTGGTTCTTCTCCTGACCTCTTCGTTTTTTATTTTGTGTGTGACTCTCAGTTAGGTAGCCGAGACTTTTATCAAAGTAAGTGTTCCTGCACCGTATGTTAACACTGGAAGAACGCATTGATCAAATACTTTTTTCTTCATACGTGTGGACAGCTCACTTTTAAATGTTTCTCTCAGTTTTCTATATGCTGCCCACCCAACACCAGTTCTTTTCTTTAACTCATGGGTCTGATTATCCCTGCCAATAATAATTTCATGTAGAAGTGTGGCCAATCAATGTTTTTTGGGAATTTACCTGGAACCAAGTCTGCCATCAGACACAACTGCAGCCCACTTTAAATCAACCGTTAGTACAACAGTAAATATATCATTGTATAATAATTCTATATTTATATAAGCAATAGATTTTGCTTAATACAGTCATCCTTAACTGTATCTCTTTTTATCACTCCACTTAGAAGAATGTGTAAGAAAACAAAGAGAAATAAAACCAAAAATAAAGCGGCTAAAAAAAAAGTGGCAGATGAACAGCTGTTTAGAAAAGAAGCATGATATGTTCAATATACACCAGAAAGTTCGTGACGTTGCTGGCCTGTATAATAAAAATTAATAATATCCTAATTAATAAAACAAGAAAATTTGGTTAAATAATCTTAATGAACGAGAAATTCTTATGACATGAAGTATCTTTATAATTCAATTGTTCGAGGATGGCAGAAAAGACATAGTGAGTAATGTAAATAAAGAAGGAAGACTTGGAATAAAAAGAATTTAAAGAATCCTGGATGATAAGAATCTGTATTTGGAACTCGAAGAAGGTTGAATCATTTTTCATTAGCTTGCGATTGAATATTTACACTTGAGCAATCAAAATACAAATTAAAATTAGTTAATTAGTTAATAGAAGAAAAAAAACACTGATTATTATTTCTTACAAAATATGTCAAATTTACCTGAAATATTCATTTGTACTGCCAAACAACGTTGAAGCCTACAATATGGACACCAATTACGCCTAGTTTTATCTATAATACATTGCCTGTTTCCTGCTGCGTGTAAAAATTGTGAAATTTTTAATGATTAAACGTTAAATGTAAAGCATATTTCAAACAATTAAATCTTATTATACATAAAATAAGAATAGATAAAAACAGAATACATAAAAAGAATAAATAATTCACTGAAAAGGAAACAATATTTATCGAACAGTAGATTTAAGTATTACAAGAACTTAAATATATTTTTGATATTCTTGTAGTGTAACTATACTTGAGGTTAGTGTTGGAGGGTTAGCAACCTACCAATCGTAAAAACGAGTACTGCTCACAGAAACAATGTACAGCCTTGAACCGGATTGATACTATAAAGACGACCACGGCAACAAAGATCCAAAGGACAAGCGAAAAATATCCAAAACCCAGATGAGAATTACTACTTGAATCATTAGATCTCTTAAATCAAGGGAACGAGAAATAACCCAAGTGCTGGAAGAGAAAGAAATATACATTTATGCTCTACAGGAAACAAAAAAGATAGAAAAAGGATAATAAAAAGTAGGTGAATACATACTATTCTACAGTAGAGTAGCAAACGAAAACAGGGCAAAGAAGGTGTAGCCTACATCCATTAAAAATAATCGACGTCAGATGCCTCAACTTAGCAGATGTAGCGACCATAGCCTAGTATTATGGAAAGTAAGACTCATCCTGAAATACCTCACAGTCAAGAGAACGGCGCCAACACAAAAAAAAATCAAAGTCGAAGGACTAAATACGGAATCTGGGGACTACTTACACAGAAAAAGAATATTATAGAAGATCGCTGGGAATAAAATATTAGAAAACGATAACATCAAGTAAAGCTATACAAAAACCAAAAAATAACATAATTAACGCAGCAACAGAATCACTTGTAGAGAAAAAAGAAACGAACACTAACATATTAAAAATGAAAACACCATGGTTTATAGAGGAAGTGAAGATAAACTATAAAGAAAAGAAGAAAGGTTTTTTATAATACAGAACACAACCACTAGACTGTAAACAAATTAGAAACCAAACGAACAGTTTAGTTAGACAAACAAAAACGGAACACTGGAAAAGTTTTTCAAAACAGATGGAACATGACGTATTCGGAACACAAAAAGAAATATGG